AAGACAGTTTCTGTGCCTGGCGGGGTGGCCTGCCGTTTTTTTTTGTTACCATGAGTGCGCCCACTGAATGATCCTGCTCGCTCGCGCAGGCTCCGTGTTCAGAGTCGGTTTGATATTCAGGAATGGCTCCTACCAGACGGATTTCTTGCCCAAACTTTCAACCCAATGCACAATGCAGGCTGCGTTGCCTGCCGCACCGTGCGAAAAAATGAGTGCATCCGTGATGTCCATTGTGCATTGGGTTGAAAGCTTGGGCAAGAAATCCGTCTGGTAGGAGCCATTCCTGAAAACAAGAAAAAAGAGTGAACTTTTTGTTGGCGGGTCACCCAAGAACCCAGCTAAATTCTCAAAGCCTACTCCCATAACCCTCAGTTCCTAGACCCTAGGTTAAATTCCTTAACCCTCTATTCCTAAAGCCTTTTCGACTCGATCTCTGAAGCCAGAACTCTTATCCCCTGCCCCATGCAGTCCATTTTCAGACCCCTTACACGCTCAAAAGGGTTTAGGGTTTAGGGGTTTAGGGTTTAGGGTAGCCCTGCAAAGGTTCTATAAACACCTACAACAGAGCCCTGAGTCCACGAGGCTCCATAATGTACCCGTGTATGCTAAAGCCCCCCCCCCCCAATATAATACCCCTGTGAGAGCCCCCGCGCACACACACACATTGTTCGTATATAACTTTCTATTAATTAAGTATGTATGTATGTATGTATGTATGTATGTATATGTATATGTATATGTATATGTATATGTATATATATATATAGATTCAAAAAGGCGAGGTGCATAGAGATGTGGGAATGCCCACGCCCGATCCAGGCCGCTCCGACTCCTCTTCAAGGACGAGGTCCGCGCACCGTGGCGGCACGGAGTCAAGATTTCGGAGTACATTATGATTCTGGCATTCTTAAAATTAGACAGGTATCTTGACGAAGAAAAATCGAAGTTATACACCATAAACCACATGCTACTAATGGTAATAACAATAATAATAGTAATAATATTATTATTAATAGTAACAATAATAGTTATTATTTTAGGCTTTCGAGTTTCGGAAGACTTAAGTCCCCCCTTCCGGAGCTACGTCCCTCGTTTTGCCAAAGATTCGAACCTACGAGGCTCCTGCACGCCTCCACTACATATAGGGTCGGTATTATGTAGTAAGAGGATTCCCTCGTAATCCCCCGTTTGCTTATTATCGTTCTAGCATATGGAAAAATATAATACCACCAAAATTCCTAGTCCAAGTATTCAAGACCCTATAAGACCCTATAACTTAGACATTTCTTTGGGGTAATATACCCGGAAATCTTATTCTGTGTATTCAAGACCCTATCTTAGATGTTCTTTGGGTGAGACGTTCTCTGCCCAGCAAGAGCTCTCTGAGGCCTTGGGTCGGGAGCTCGGCCTTCCGGTCACCTCGGTGATGTCCGGGCCCCAGCAGATGCGGAGCTGTTGCTGAAAACGGAGGTTCTGAGGATTTGAGTTTAGGGTTTAGGGTGTAGGGTGACCCAGTTAGGGTGCTAGATCCAGGATTGACGATGCTGTCGCGGCTTCCAGGCTGTAGACTATAGAATCCGAGCGTTTTGTTTGCGTTGAGGTGGCTTTCAGGAGCTATGCAAAGCTTCGCCACAGTCTTCGTCACACGCAGCAAAAAGACTGCCGGACTACCCAAAAGATGAAGTGTTGCAGCGGCCCTAGCAGCATAGGTAAAACAGCCGCTGAATGTTCTGGCTCTTCGAACTGCAAAGGAGAGCATCATTGATCTGCCTGCGGGGTTCGCCCCAATGCGCAGTTATTCGATCAACAGGCCCAAGACACACCATCACCAAAACCGCGCTCGACATCAACTTTGTAGAGCAACGATCTTCATGAGACTCATAGTCAGATATGCTTTTGGCACAAGAGTTCGGCATCTATAGGGTCTTCCGGGGTTCGGTTCGTCCATGACTTCGAGTTTGTCGGGTTTCTGGCGAAGCGCTCGGCGACCCAGGCGACATCCCTTCCCTGGCCCTGGCCTCGGTATCCGCATCATCGGCGAGATCAACAAGGCACCGATCCATATCATGTTCTCTAAGGAGTTTGGGTGGAGAGGACTAGGTTAGGTGAGTCCCTATAGGGCTTAAGGATGGCGTTTTGCATTGGTTGGACCCTTGGTTCTGGAGCACATCGGTCCTCGAAGCTTGCGGTCTTCGCAAGTTGTAGTTTCCACTCGGCAAACCTCTCTACATGCATGGCACGTCTCTCCGTTACCTGCAGCGCCGCATCGATGCGTTGAAGGGCCTTCAGACCAGACTGCTGTGGCCGCCGATGTGGCAATTTCGGGCCGGTGGTGAGACTTTTAAAGTATCTCCACCGGCCCTGAATTGCTGCCGTACTGGCCTACTGAGCCTACTGGTACGCGCGTTCACGCATCCGAAAGCGTGCTGTGCTATCTGGCCGGATTCTTCGATGAAGCTTGGCAAGGGCGAGCATGTAGGGAAGGCAGCGATGCAGCTGGCAGAGCGAAGCTTCCTCAAAAGACAGCAGCTTCTGTTAGCAGCCGAGCAGCTGAGTTCAACCTGCACGCCAGAAGGCCAGAAGCATGCCTTGGCAGCAGCAAGAGTGCAGGAAGGCTATTCGGCACCCAGATGCTCGTGGCCTTTCATCGCAGGATTCTTTGATGCTGAGGGTTGCATTCAAGTGCACCCCTCAACAGGCGCATTGCGCGTGAGCTTTTCACAGAACACAGTCACTGTTCTACGTTGGATTGCCGACTTCCGGCAACATGATATGGGTTCGACTCTGTCGCTTTGGCGACATGGAGCAACAGGAGCCTCTCAACTGTGGGTAGAGTGTCAACATGATGTCCATGTGCTGTTGAGGCGGTTGCTGGACAATGGTTTGTTGACCAAGCGCTCGAGTGCCTTGCTTGCCTTGAGTCGTGGCGACACTTCGTGCTTAGACATCCGGCACGGGCTTTCTCGACTTTCTGGGAACCAATCCAAGTACCTCAGGTCGACACCAGCAGGCATCAAGCGAGCTCAGAGGATTAGTGCACTGCGGCAGTCAGCTTCGCGCTATCTGTCAAGAGGACAGCTGGAGAAGTCCAGGGAGCTGTGTCTAGAGATTGAAGCGTTAAAGAGGGAGCACGAGCTCTCCAACGCTTTTGACGCTTACCGAACTCTGCAAAGCGACATTCGGGAATTGCTGACGCAAGGGGCTGTTCTTGACGATGCGAAGATCTTGGAAAAAGGTGTTCATTTCCGCCCCCATGGAGCAACACGAGACACTATCCCACAACTTGCAGCCTGCTCTTCAATTTTGTAGCCCAGAGAGTAAGATGTTAGCGATCTTCTCCATGCACTGCTATACTGCATACTCACCTTAAGCAGGAGGTAAGCCGATTTGACCCCATCTATATATGTTGACTGCGCAGGAGACGGCAGATCGCCTGTCGCACGCGGACAGTTGGGCTGGCTTGGGTTGATTTGAGTCGTCAGGGCTTTTCGGTCAACTGCTGTGACTGGAGGATTTGACGGTTCGATGGCTTGAAGTCAACAAATAATTAGGTGGATTTGGGCGCCACGTAAACTGTAGATCTAGTGGGTTTGCAAGGTTTTCTGAGAAGCATGTGGCACAGACGAGAAGAAGTCCGGGCTCTCTTTTGGACGGATGATCTACGGGCCCTTCAGCAATGCATGCTTCAGTCAGCAGGCATTCTCTGCCTGGCATGTCCACGGCAGGTTCGCAAGGCTCCAATAGTTCTGGAAGAAGAAACGAACACATAAGGTCATTCCCCATGTTTTGTTTCAACTTGCCCCGTTGAGCGCGAGTCCGGTAACCATGCAGTAAAGGATAAACATATTCAGGAATGATATTGCTCAGGGCTCCTTGTTAGTAGCCTAGTATAGTGTACCCCCAACCCTAAATTACTGTGCTGTATTTCTAATTCTGAAGGCCCTTCTACCAAACCTCTGCAGGAAGTCTAAAAGCAACCCAGCCCAACTCTAGTTATTAAGCTCGAACTGCTCCTGAGGATGACATCTACATCGAGGAGCTGCGGAAGACGGGACACTACGACAAGATTGGCCAGGCCATGCTCGTAGCCCACATTATTCTTTGAGTTGCAGTCACTCGTCGTCGTCGTAGTAGCAGTAGCAGTAGTAGTAGCAGTAGCAGTAGCAGTAGCAGTAGCAGTAGCAGTAGCAGTAGGAGGAGTAGTAGTAGTAGTAGTAGTAGTAGTAGGAACAACAACAACAATAATAATAATAATAGGAATACTACTCGTATTCGGTTTGGCGTTTAAGGTTGAGGCTTTGCAGGGTTTGGGGTCTGTAGTTTAATGTTATCTAGTTCCTCTTTCTATCAAAATGATAAGTTGCAAGAGATGGTGTTTTGTGGGTTATAGGGTTAACTCGTAGCCCATCTTGCAAGGTGATATAGGGGCTTGAATAGTTACCCCTACTACTCTGTTGGGTTACATTGTATATAGCAAATTCAACCTATAACCCAAAATCCTAGACTACATGTGGAGGCACGATGCAAAGTTTCGACATGTGCGTGCAAGTTACAAAGCGGATGCATTCGGAATCGAGCATACCCCAGAAAGGAGGTTTCAATGCGTGGAGGTTGGCCTCAGAGTTGCAAGGGCTCGTGCCAAGGGATCTGCGCGCATGACTACCGAAATCCAAGCCTTCAGTTCCTGATCCCAGAACCTTGGATCCTGTCCTCTCCCCCCAGCTCGTCCATGAATGTTTTGCCTCAGCACAATAGTTAAGACATCTTGGTCAAGACCAGCCTTCGGCATCGGATGTCATCAAGCTTTGAGTCTCGAGCACTTGGGATTGTAGCCGTCCCCCCGGCTCCGCACACTGCAAGAGCCTCGGCATTCATCTTTGTCATCATGAAGTCTTCCGGTCACCGAAATCCTTCCTCTTTATGCTTTGACACGGAATCTTCGCCAGTTGGCCGTTGGAAGGTGTTCGGTCGGGGAACACAAGCACAAACAGGGCTCTGAATCCGTTGTGCGCTGTCTGGCAAGCTCAACTAACTCCACTAACTTGTGGCGATCGCTGTGAAGACTATCAAACAGGCCTTTGCCGTACTCCTGCCGACCGTCCGATCGGTGGGCGTCATGGGCGACCACCGAACGTACGAGAACCTCGGCTCTTCTGCTGAGGCTCTAGGGTTTAGGGTTTTAGGGTTTAGGGTTTTGGGGTTTAGGGTTTAGGGTTTAGGGCTTGAGACTGGCCTCGTAAGCTTCGGACGTATAGGGTTTACCACTTCTGGTTAGCAGCTGCCGTGAATACTCATAACTACCCATAGGCCCCTAAGTAGTTCCTTTTTGGGATTACTTTATAGGTTTCCAAATATAAACCACAAAAAGGAACTACTTAGGGGCCTATGGGTACATTGCATCCCTCAGTGCCCGAGAAAACCCATCTATTCAAGCTGCAGTTTCTAGCCTCAGGGGCTTGGGGTAAGCAACCACTCAGAGTCTTATGGCTGCGTTTTTGCAGATCGATACCTCTGGTGCTCCGCTGCACAGACCACAGATTCAGGATGATGTTTTGCATCTGTCTTTGAGGCTTCAGGCTGCCATGCTCGAAGCTCCTGTTCAACGGTTGCAGTCCAGGTCGCAGGGTTGATTCTTCAAGCTTCAGAAGAACTTGGATTTTCTGATACAGGTTTGAGGGTTCATGTTCTCACACTTGGATATGTGAAGAAATCGATCAAGACTTCCCGGATGCAGGCTTTACATAGTCCAATGCGATTCTGGGCTTTCCAGCTCCACCACCCCCTGGAAGAAAAAGCAAAGAACAGAGCCCAGGAATGTCTGCGTTCTCCGTGCCGTGACCACTACCGACTTCATGACGGCAGACTGGTACGACATGCCTCATGACGCCTTGGCTGTTTGACCGTGTGCAGGGAAGAAGCTGAATCCTCGGATCTGCTGCATGAGGGCAGGGATCGGCGGATTCCTGGGGGGCAAAGCAGGATTGAGCTTTTTGTGTGAAATTCCTGGCCTCATGAAACAGTTATTTTCAGCTTGATCACGTCTGGGTTGAGAGGGAGCCCGACCCGAGAGCCTCCAACCCCCTGAGCCCACGACCGATTTTTTTCAGAAGTTCCGTTTCCGTTAAACCGAAGCTTGCCAGGATGTTCTCGCTCGCATTTCCAACCGGATCATCAACGAGGCTGGGAGGGGACAGGCTTTGAAGTGTCGGGTTCAGGATTTAGGGCTGATACAGTAGCAAGTCGAGTTCTCAGATGGCTTACCTCGTAGTAGGCTGAAACCCAAACTACGTCAAAGAAGAGCATCTTCGACTTCAAGTGCTGGAACTTCAGGTCGGTGCTTGGACACCCCCCGAAGGGAGGGACCCATAAGGTCGGATGTGTTTCGAAGCGAGCTCGGGTTGCTTACCGTTGGTTTAGGGTTTAGGGTTTAGGGTTTAGGGCGCCCAAGGCACAGGACGGAGGCCCTAGGGATTTGTTGGTCAGTATGCGTCCCAGCCAAGAATTTCTGTACTGATGGCATGGGAGGTGAAGGGCATCAACAGAGTTTGCTACGACGTCTCTTCCAAGCCTCCCGCGACCATTGAGTGGGAGTGAGCCAATTAAACTCTACAGGGCTTTGGGGATATGTTTGCAGTTCCGTGTTTCAGGATGGGGATGTTAGGTTTAGACTTTTGAATCGTAGGACTTGATGACTCTGAGAGTGAATAGTTTCAAGTACTTCGGCGACACAACATGCAAGCCGGTGCATCGCCTGTTCTTTGTTTTGACTCCTGTAACCGAAAGGCATCCTAAGACCTCAATCCTTCTCGGAGAGCAAACCCTAAACCCTAAACCCTAGAGCATTCTAGAGGCATGCATCTGTAGAGCCGAAGACAACTCTCTTGCTTCCTGGTGCTGTGAAGCCAGCAATTTTGTGATCCTTTTGTTCCTGCATTGCTCTTCCATGCAAACGCCGACTTCTTTCGGATCTCTACCAATTGTTCTACGTAGGTCTCAGGTTGATATCTACCATCTTTCGGCAAGTTTGCAGGATGAGCAATCTTTCGGTGCCGATTGCACATACCGAAAACTTTCCTAAGAAATATATGCAATGCGGCAGCAGTTTCAGAACCATTGCATGGTTGTTACGCGCCCTGCAAAGTCCTTGAGGCATCTGGTACATTTCACTCAGACCCTAAACCTCTCAACCTAGATGCCCTGCACCCAACGAGATCAACACTCGGAACTCCCGGGACTTCCTTCTATCCAGATCCGTCGGACCTTGCATTGCGGCAGTCTAGACATTTTCTGCCCCCGAGGCAAAAGGAAGCACAAGAAGCCATGAGCTTTGATGGACTTGCCTCGGGGTCTAATTAAGAGATATCGAAAATGAAACCTCTCCGCAGACCTCTGCATGGGCACTGAGGCAAGATGGAGTCTTGTAGAGTGCAGGTAGGACCGTGCCTGGCCCTGATGGGCGACCGAGACAAAATCAGAGTCTTGCGCATCGAGCTTCTGTGGCTGGATGAGGTTCAATTTAGGCCTTCAGGCTTAGGCAACAGGTAGGCGTCCGGCCTTGCCTAAACACTGGACGTCTTAGGCTCATCTAGTAAATCTAGTCATGAGCCCACGGGCATAATTTGCCCCTATACCCTAAACCCTAAACATCAGGAGAATGCCAGCAAGGCTTCTTTGCATCATGGGTCGTGAAGGCAGCCTCTTCTGTAAACACCCGAGGCCTTGACTTGGGCTTGGGCTGTTGATCTGTGAGTCTAGGAAAGACGTTGCTCATGTTACGTGTTGCCAGGAATGTGCGTGTTGCTTTCAGGTTGGGGATTTCGAATGTGTGTATGAAGTCCCAGAACCTTCATGAAAGCACAGTAATACACTTCGCTCGCAAGCAGCCGCAGCAAGTCACTTCTAGGGCCAGCCTGTCAAACAAAAGGCAAACCACAGGGTGCGGCGGAGCATCCAAGGTGCAGGGCTGAGACCCTCCATCCTAAACCAGGAAGGCAGGCCTGTAGACCCTTCGGGTCGATGTACCCATATGTATGTATGTATATATATATACATACAGATAGAAATATAGATACAGATATAGATAGTGTGTATAGACTACTGAAAGCATAGACTGCATGAGAACATGGACCCTTAGGGTGAGTCCAGTGGAATCCCGACGCTTCTGCCAGGGGAGCAACGACACTCGCCCTCTCCCGGGAGCGGTGATGCTCACCTTTCTGCTTTGCACC